GCCACTTTTGATGAATTCATGCTTCTAGGAAGAGTAAACATGGCATTCATGTGCTAGAGAGCATGAAGGGGCATGAGAGTGAAAACATGCCTTCATGCATGTAGGGGTATGCATTAAATTTGCTTTTTACTAAATGTTTCATTTGTGGGATCATAGTCAGTGCTTGTTTGAAAAAAAAAAAAAAACCACATGGAAAAAAGGGGTTTTTACAGTAGTTGGCTTCTTGCACCATGATCATTCATAATGGTCAAGTTCTTAGGAAGGGGGAAGGGGGGGGAATGGGTGGCATGTAACACATTTACCCAATGCTCTGAAATGCTCTCCTTTTCTCTTCTATCCCTGCATCACCTGAAGTAGAAGGGTTGTCACATCCCTTCACAGGGTATAATGACTATTATCATATACATACAAACAACTTGCACCTAGTCCTTGAAGCAGCAGCCCCCATGACTACAAAGATTACAAGGAGTCCTTTAACCATTGTTCTCAATTAACCATTAGAAAACAGTGCTCTCGCCAACTGCAACATCTACTTCATTGATAAGAAACACTGAATAGAGTATATCATCTCCCTAAATGCATGTCCAGGTTCAGTAACCTTAACCCTTTGCATCATAGAGGTGTTTTGAAACATATCATAGTTTTGAGTGTCTGCCATGCAGTGGATGGCACTGCCGCCCCTTCAGTGCATCACAGAATCCCTGGTGCTGTCCAGGCTGCTCGCTGAATATGAGCTACACTTCATTGTTGTTGAGGGAGGTTGTATTGCCAAAGCAAATGAAAAAAAGAAATTTGCAAAAATTTTGTGGAAGCAGAAAGTGTGAACCTAAAGGTAAGAAAAAATAGTGTGCTGTAGTTGTGATTGTCTTATAGACATATGGCAACTTTTCAAGTTTTTCTTATGCGTTGATTGGTAACAGGGTGACGTTTCAGTGGTGTGTTTGAAAACACAGAAACATGGAAAACACAGGCTTACTTCTGAACATTACACCTCACAAAGGAACAGAAAAAAGGGAATGTCAGTGTCTCCACAAGTCTTTGTGTGGACCAAGTTGGTCATCGTCCGTACGTTTTTAGACCCTTTTTTTTTTGGTTGAGTCCGTAAGGAACAGTGCATTTAGGTCATGTGAAACCTAAACCACTAAAATAAATCTTTAAAAATAATCCTGTGATGCATAGGGTTAAGGCAAATTTCATCAGCCTTTTCATTTCTCTCCATCATGTACAGAATGTTAATCAATTTTGAGATATGCATATACAAAACTGTATGATACAAGGAAATAGCCACAGGAATGTAATGTTGCAAATCAGCTTAGTAATTCAAGAGATCTACTGATTGTCAACCTTCTCAAACAAATAAAAAAAATTGATAGATAACACATAAAAAAAGCATCAAATAACCCTACAGACATGGTTGTTTCAGGCTATTGGATGCACTTCTGTAAAACACTGCATTAGCATTTAATTAGGGTTCAGTAAAAAAATTTTTTTCATAATGACACCAAAACCAACACAACAGCATGCTTTGTTTCCATCAAAATGATCCTAATTTACAAAGCAAACTTTTTCTATGTGCCTTAAACTTTTGCCACACCTAAAGGACATTGAAAGGTAAAATGCAGCAATGGATAGGTAGGCTGAAGTAGTAAAGACAGGCTACAAAATTAACATTATTTGTTTTTCAAAAATCCTCCCTAGTTTTGGAACACCAGCCAATTTATCTAATAATGCTTGGCATCCAATTACTCCACCTTCCCCTACTTCTGCTGGAAATAAGATTGGGATTGGTGGGCACTAGGTTCAGGCCTCAAGTGATTTTCTGGTTCAAGTCTGGCTATGACCTAAGCACTGAATGTTAAATTCCTTCCTCACATTCTCAGACAGGTTGGACTGCATTTGAATTAGTGAAAGCCACCAGAAAACAAAGCAGGATACATCTGTAGTTGAGCCCATTTTCCATAAAAGGTAGTGAGGTTAGGATGTGAGAG